GTCAGGGAGAAGGGTGCAACAATGAATGAATGGAATTCCAAAATCTCTGTAGATGTTCATTGAAATGAAAAATAAATTAAAAAAAAAAAGTAAAATGCAATACCAAACCCAAAGTGTCAAGAGTTCAGTTCCCAAGAAAACAGTGATAGCATAACAATGGAAAACTTTCTCTAACGCTTAACAGCATTAAATTAGTAATGCTAAAACAATACATGGGATTTACAGAAACATCTGGAAGTTCCTTCTAATGTACATATAAATTGAACTATTGTGAAGCTTTTTATATTACGTAATAATTTTATGGCCTTACAGATTTAATGGACAAAATTAAATGTGAATCACCATTTCACACACCATTCTTTAATTCTAGATAAAACTATTCTTTATTTTTTTTAAGCAGTTTTAAGTGTCCAGATTTCCTAGGCCCCATTTAATGAAATGATCTCTGGACTTGTGGACGTTGTTGCTCTTCATCTGGTACAGGAAACTCCACCACATATGATCCTGGTATTTGTCATTTAATCAAGCTCTTCACATATCCTTCAAATCAGCAAAATCAGAGATTCTCAACATTTTCTGGGTCAATAAAATAAGGTGTGGAATCAGTAGATTCAATGGACATGTGGTTTTTTCTTGTCACACTGGATTTCTAGATGTCATTTGGATTGAGTTGAGAAGATAGGGAAGTAGAGGCATTTCCTGGCCTGAGTCTCTTAACAGTAGAGATGTAGAAGGGAGAGAGACCACAGGGAGACTGGTTGTGCACTGCGGGGGACCTCCACTTCCCTTGGTGGTGGTGTTGTGTGACTGTGTGGCAACCGAGGTATACTGGGAGGAATTACTCTGTTGTGACATGGCAGTTGTATTATTTAAATAAACCTGCGTGGGGAGGAGCAGCGCGAGGAGCAGCAGCCCCAGTCCAAGCCTGGACACAATCGCTCTGCCCCTGTGTGCTCTGTAGGAGCTTCTCTGGGTGTTGGGAGCATGGAGAATCACAGCTAGGGGCAGGCACAGCAAAGTAGTCTGTTTTGCTATTCTTAACAGGAGGAGGAACTAAAATTTAAGGAGTACACTGGAGACATTTTCTGGTCAACCACTTGAGGGGAGTAGTCTAGCTAAGACCCTGCTGTGTCTTATCAATAGTTTCAGTTGAGCTGTCCAGTTTACCTATCTCAGATAATACCACACTAAAGAGCACAGAGTGATCTTATGGTGGGCCCCAGACAAAGTAATGAAGCAGGAAAGGCAGGAGAGAGTACATGGTGCCCACAGTGGACCCACTCCCATTTAGTGTCGTCCCCTATTGGCCAGCCAGGACCCCTGGAGGGATATAGGGTCCACTGAGGGTGTGGTGGGTGCACTGAGGTGTGCTATTCACCTGTAGCCTGACAGAAGAGTTGGAAGGTCGCAAGGGCATGCACGTGCTGTGCCTGGTCATTTAGGAAGGGTGGCAGCAAGGTGACCACAGTGGTCTCAGAGCCTGAGCCCGAAGATGACCAGGGGCTCTGGGGAGAGGGAGATGACTCAGGACCCAGACAGGACAAGGAGGAGAAGCCAGGAGGAAGGAAGGGCTTAGAAGATGAGGCTGCGAGACAGAAGAGGACAGAAAAGAGAGAAGGCACTGAGGAAATGTCACATGTGGCAGGCACGACGCACCCAGAAAATGGACACGTGTGGTGAGGAAAAAGAATGACCCCAGGCCACCTGCTGCCTCCCACCCCCCAGGGCCGGGAGAAAAACAGGAGCAGAGGCCATGGAAACATCCTCTATACTGCTTCCACATCTGTATACAGAGGCAGCTGAATAGAGCAATGCTTAAAAAATCCAAATTATGCATGTATGTTTCTTGTTTATTTGGTTACTTTTAATACCTAGACAAGGCAAAGTAGAAAAAGAAAAACAAAGAAAATCTTATAAAACACAAACGTGTACACCAAAATGGTCCATAACATGTTGGAAGATGAAACTGTTTATGCAGGTACACAAAGTCCAGAGGTTATTGCTCTTTGCTATAAAATGAAGTCATCTTCTGACAGTATTTACAAAGGGCTGGGGTGGAGGGTGAATTGGGACATAATGGTAGCAGTGGATCATCCACTTAGAGGCAGGTCTGGTGTGGTGGATAGTGTGCAGGGGTCTCCCAGGTCCTCTGCTGGACCCCCTGCTGACCACTGCTCAGGTCATTTCCAGTTGTGGAAGAGCTCAGTGGGGGGTAAGTGACAAATTTGCATAAAGAATGCGTTTGAAATCTATGCCAAGGAAAAAGGTATTAAGAATGCCCCAGAAGTCCTGGCTAAGCTGTATCTTCAGGGGAGACTGCAGACTGCATCAACCAGGGTGCCTGGATATCCCCTCAGCTCCCGAGGCTACCACCCTGTTCAAAACCCAGATCTTGTGGTGTAGACATGTGGCAGTCCTCTGCTGCTACCTCCTCTTCAGAAAGTTTTTTTAAAAAAGAAGTGGGGCAGGGTAGAGCACAGAAAGAAAAGCTTTCCAAAAATATTTTCCCCATGGAGTGAAGGGAAAAACAAAAAAAGAGTAAGTATGCTTAAGAGGTGGTTTTAGACTCGCATTTCTAAAGCAGAAAGAGTATATTCAGCAAACATAAGTCTATCCCTGAGAATTGTCAGCAACTTAAACCATATTTATCCCAATATTTAATAAGGTCTAGAAAATCTATCATCACCTTCCACTGCTTCAGGAATTAAAAAAAAATACCTAAGATATTAACACATGAAAAAACTTTTAAAAAAATATAACAGGGAAAAAAGTTCACGCCAATTTGGACAATAGGCTACAAATTACCAAATTGATAAACTAAAACATCATTTCCAATCTGGAATTAAATTACTTGTTAGCGGCTGTGATGAAAAGGGGAGGCAGATGTGAGCTGAGACAAGTGAGCTCCTGAGCCAAGTGGGCTGACTGAGCCCATGTCTCTCTAATGAAAGCATGGGCTCAGGTGAATTGGAGACATGGCCCACTGGTGTGCCTTCCAGCACCCTGTTGAGCTGGGGTACCCAGGACCAGGACATGCTTCCTGCCACTTCCCAAAGGGACAAAGGGAAACCAAGTCATATGCACAACCCCACAGACATGAGAACAAGACTGGGACTTTTGTAGGATGTGGCTTCCCTGTGGGGCTGGGGTCAGAAGAGACCACTGTCTGGAGGTGCACAGAGGCAGCATGTGCAGACACCTCACACCCTGATGTGCTGCACTCCCTCAGCCGGACGAGAGGACCACGCTTGATATTGAGGAGGACACTGGCCTGCCTCAGTCCCCGTCAGCGTCTGAGTCAGCGTACTTCAGCTCACATTTCACATCAAATGGCTCATCCTTGGTGGGAAAGTCATCGATCCTCTGTGAGTCCTCTCGGTCAGTGGGGAGCTTGCTGGTAATGGTGTCCTGCTCTGTCTCGTAGCCAGTGTCCAGAGCTGGCTTGGGCTGTTCTCCATTTTGCTGAGAGAAGCTCCCCGGATCCACCAATGTTTCTTTCACATTCTGCTCGCAGTCAGAAAAATCAGATTTAGGCTTTTTCTTCCCAAGTAGCATAATGGAGCGGAATTTGAGACAATGTCCAGGAAGATAGTCTTTGTAGCAGTTGTATGAAAAGAGACAGAGGAATAACACAAAGAAGAAGAGGAAGAGAAACATGAGCAGGCGATTGTCACTGTACTTGAGATACATGGTATTCTCAGAGTGTACCTGTGGGATAGTGTTGATGACAATCTTTGGTTGGCAGGGTGTGCTGGTGGGCACAAGGTGGGAGGGCGAGGTCACCACAGCACCAGGTGCAGTGACCTGCAGATCTGGTGATTGCGAAGAAGCCCCTGGCATGGTCTCTGCCAACACTCTGGGGGCAAGTCTGCTGTCATTTGTCTGGGTGAACAGCTGGGTGGGAGCTGCTGGAGTGTGCGAGACCATCTTCTCCAAAACATGCTTAGCAAGCACCTGAGAGACTGTTTTGTTCTTCACTGTCTCCTCTGACAGACACTGATACACCCCGCTGTCCCCTTCAGACAAGTTGAAGATTAGGAGGCTTTTTCTGCCCAGCAGCATGTACTTGAGGCTGTCAGCCTTTACCACGCTGTTCTGGAACATCCATATCACTTGAGCCAAGTTGGACTTCTGGGGACATTTGAGCTCCACTGTGCCACCACGCTTGAAAAAATGCTGCCCGTAACTTTCCTTAACTCTATCTGGAACATCAAAATAAATGTGCACAGCATCAACAACCTGCTCATTAGTTCATGGTTCTTAAAAGCATGTTAGCATGCATAAAGACAAAAAAGTTCCAGCAGTGGAGTAACAAGAATTCTTCCCGGTCAGCTAAGGTGGTGACAACATGCATGACAGACAAGCAAAATGAACCCCAGCCCCAGTCCACACGGGAGAGAAATCTGGGGCAACTATGAGTAGCAGAAACTCCATTTCTCACCTTTGGTTCTGCTGATGGCTCCCCTAAGTGTGAGTCCCTCAACACATACTGGCACCCGCCCCCCCAGACTCTCCCTATTCTAACAACAGAATCTTGCAGAACAATCTATAAGTGCGTCCATCTGCCTTCATCAATGGTTGGGAGGACAGTATAGACATTGTCAAGGTTATCTGTTTCTAAATTGGTATCCTAGAACTATTCCTAGAGAGCTCTGGTGGCCTAGTGGTAGGAAGCTGGCTGCCAACCTAAAAAGTATACAGTTCAAAGCCACCAGCCGTTCCACAGAAGGATAAGCATTCTCTTCTTGTGCTATGTATTGCCTCTGGAAACACTCTGATGGGTCAGCTTTGAGTTGGTTCCGACCTGATGGCACATAACAACAATAGCAGGACTGCTCCACTGGGAATGCTACCCTGGTACTCCTGGTATTTGGGCTCGTTGTCAGCGGCTGCCAAATCAGATCCTGATCACAGCCCCATGCATGATGGATTGACATGCTGTTAGGCCCCATACCATCCCGCTGTTCAGTTCTGTGTAGGAACACTGTGACCCCCAAGGTCATCAGTGGTACATTATCTGAAGTGAATCAGACTTTCTTTGTGGACTGTCTTGGTGTCAAAGCCCCACTGAAACCTGTTAAGCATCACAACCACGTGCAGCCTCAACTGGCAGACAGCTGGTAGCTGCCTAGGCAGGCAATGAACCGAGATCTCCAGCATGGAAGGCAAGAATTCTACCACTGAGCCACCACTGCTCCTGAGGACTAATCACATGAGGGATTCTTTCCTTTGTTCTCCATCACAATAAGCACAGGTTTATCTCAGGAACCCCACTAGGCAGGACAGAACAGGGTGATGCATCTCAAAAGCAGATGCTATAGTTTGTAGAGAGTCCTGCCAGTAAAAAAAGGCCTCTCTCAATGACCCTAAGCATTCTTTTCTTCAATAAAAGGAACAGAGATATGCCAAGGCTTTTATTACAACATATTTGACCTAGATGCTAAGCAGAGGCAGATAAAAAAGAATGTAGAGAATCATAATAAAATAAAAGCACTGTGAAACTAGGCCCTCCAAGTTTCTCCAGGCATTGTAGTAACAGTGAATGACTTACCAGGGCAAGCAGACACATCCCCGCTCATGCTCTGAATCAAACCCCTGCAAAGCAAGCAGGCAGAGAAAGATCATCAATATGCTTGAGCTCTGCAGGGTGACCAGGGGACAGCTAAGTAGACACAGTCTTCAGAGGATTACCTCCTAGAGCCATGCTCCTGGTACAGGGCAACACAGGTGGCGGAATGCCGGCTCCAGGCACAGTAAGGGTCCCGTGCCAGCACACAGTCTATACATGTGCCATGCTTCCCACAGAAGGCTACTGGGGCCTGGGCCAGGCCTGAGTTGGAGCCAGCATACACAAATCTTTTGCCCTGCAAATGTAAGACAGAAGTAAAAACAGGTAAACAGCAAAAATACAATCAGTCTAACAAAGTCAGATGCCTGCTAGTTTACTAGTGTCACAGAAAATGAAAGCAGAGAACCTTCAAGGGACCGATGACAGAGGAACATCTACCTAATTTACAACTGTGGACTCCCTGATGTTAAACAGTCACTATGCTTAGTGCTAACTGAAAGGTTGGTGGTTTGAGTCCACTTAGGACATTTTAGAAGACCTGGTAACTCCTTTAGAAAAATCAAATCATGAAAACCCCTCAGAGTGTTTGACCCTGATGGCGCTGTCAGAAGCCCATATTTACAGTGAATGGTTCTTTACTCCCAGATGCCTTTGCCTCTTTAAACCACAGGTTTGGGACATACACATTTTAGACTAGACAGCACCAGATAAGAACATGTAACATGCCCATTAGCACACCTAGTGCAAAGAGGGGATCTACCACTCGGCCTGAGTTCTCTCACATGCAATCTTGATTGAATGAAGCTTCAGTGTACACAAAAGGTCACTCTAAAGTACAGACATCTGAAAGAATAGCTAGTTCTTCAGAGCTTTAAATTTAGCCAGCCACTTGACTTTTAGTCTATCATTTGGTTTATCTGTCTAAGGGAAAACATTTTGGTTAACTCCAAAAGATCCCCTAATGAATGAGTGTTTTAGAGTTGGATGAAATACTGTCTCATCCTTAAAGGATGTATTCCAAACTAATTTCACAGTTGAGCTTAAAATCAAGATCCTTGGTGCTACTAACCCAGATGTCATGGTTTTCTGTACATAAAAACCCAGTAAGCTGCAGATCCCAGAGTGGGTGAAAATGTGAGACATACAGGAGCAGCGAACTGGCTCCATGTCCATGGATTAGAAACGTGATGATTAACAGCAAGAAGGCACTTCACATGGCCTGGCACATCTTTGCAGAAGTGGGAAGATAGGGGAGGAAGATGATGCCTCAGGCTGTGTTCTGGGGAACTGCAAAGCTTTCAAAGAGTGTGGAACATCTGAAACACCACAAACTGAAAATATTATGGAGAACAGGCCTTTCTGACACCCATGGAGTTACTCTGGGTCACAGTTAACTGGTTGTTCTGGTGGTGGCTTTAACAATGTCCACAAATTCCACAACCTATGTCCCTCTGAGTACTATAGTGTTCCCTTTGGCATGGGGGCTGGAAGTAGTGACTCATTTTGAACCAATACAGTACAGAAAAAGATGGCTTTAGGCCAAGTGGTAAGTCTCTGAACCTCCACAAACTGCCCAGGACTGGAGACGAAGAGCGGATTGGGTCTGGATTAACATATGTCTATCAGAACAAGGAGTTAACCATGGTGAGCAGCTCTCTGAAGGGTGGCAGTTGCTGACAAGCCTAGAGGGGGCTGCTCAGGAGGATCTCCAACCAAACCAGGAAGCCCTATACCCAAGGATAGCAGGGCCCAGCAGGACAGTGGAGAATAAAACTTTCCAAAAGGGGAGCTGCAGGGAGGAGAGGTGGAGGCTGGGAAGGACCAGGCACTGTGCACTGCCAACCCATGGGGTCTAGTCAGCCCAGCAAGTTACAGCGGTGCCCAGCCAAGGCCCTGTTGGTGCTGCCACTTGAGTTCTGGTCTGGTCAGGGGCTCTGACCCTCAAGATTCTCCACTGGGTGGGCTGCTTCACTTAGAAAATCTTTCACAAATAGGGTCTCATGGAGAGGCTGAGGAGACACCTGGCACTGTGGCACCCTGTCCACTCCCCCAAACTCATTGTTTCAGGCACTGCCTGTGTGCAGCATATCAAGTTCAGCATTTCACAGGAGTTACTGCATTTAATCCTCAGGACAACCAGTTAAAGAGGCATTTCCCCTGCGGCAGAGTGTATAACTGCATGCCCACGCTCACAGCTCTACATCGTGGAGCTGGCACTGGATCCAGGAGATCTAACATCCCATGCTCCTGAGGGCTCAGCCCTCATCTTTACCGTGGGGCCCGTGCCCATCCCAAAGCCACAACTGATATGGAGGGAAATGTGTACAGCAGTACAAACTATGGAGAATGGGCAAAACCCAGCCTCCCTCTGTTTTAGACAGTCTGTGAGCAAATATTTTAGATATTCAAAAGGCTGGGGAAAGGAATATTATTTCGTAGTACAAAAAATGAAATTAAATGCAATGCTCAGTGTCCATTAATCAACAAGGTTTTGCTGGGACACAGCCAGTCAATTATTTGGGACCAGCTGCAGCTGCCTCTGTGCTACAGTGGCTGAGCTCAGTCGTTATAGCCAAGACTGCAGGGCTAGTGAGGCTGAAAACGTGTACTCGCTGGACCTTTCAGACACATTTTGACAAATTTGATATGGGAGGGAAAGCCTTGTAAATGGAAAAGAGCAGTAGAGACACTATGCATTATTATTATAACAGATTTTCTGTGTGTGACCAGTTAGCAGAATCACCATCATAATACACAGAAGCAACTGCCCACCTCACCAAGTCTGTGCACCAGAGGTCTTTCAGGAAGGGCACACACAACAGCCATCTCCACTATAGCAAGAGCATGTGGTGGCTGCTTTGGTAGAACACTGCATCTCTTGGGTTTGCTTTCCTACAGTCTCAGACTTCAAACCACATGCCTCAGAGCTATTTTTCTTTAAGCATCTAAATGCTGGCTCATTTTGTTCTTAAAAAGGACCAGATCCCCAAGGGACACTTGGTACATGGCTGGACCTGGGTGCTCAGCTGGGGTCAGTAACTCAAATAAATTACCAAGTCTGAAGAAGCCGGGGACCAGCTGCACTCATAACTCACCTCTTTGGAAGACAGCAGTAGGGTCTGGACTGGCTCCAAGCCCTCGAAGAGCTGTGTCTCCTCAATGACATGCACACTGTGCTCCAGGTTGATGGCTTTGTGCAGAGCACCCCTGTCTGTAATGTCAGGACCTGAAGTCAGCAACCATTTTGGCAATGGAGACCAGTGATGGCTTCTCCACTGTTGCCAACTGCAGCCCAAGTAGCAGCTCCAACTCCAACTCCTCCCCCACAACTCAAATCCAAACCTACAGCTGGGCCCACATGGGTCAAAACTGACACAGCTGTTCCTCCAGCAGGTATCTCATGGCAGAGGAGGGGCCACTGATGGGTGTGAACTGACAGAGTGGCACTGCTTTCTGGGTTAGCAGTGTAATGTCTTCAAGATAAGCCACCAGAGCTTTCCAAAAGGAAGAATTGATTCTGTCTGGTTTGGTGGCAAACTAAACCACTGGGTATTCAAATGTTATAAATAATCTCAACATTTTTTATGACAAACCAATGTTTCATTGTTCCATCAACTAACTACTTTGGGACCAAACAAGCATTGGGATTCTGCTTGAGACCCTTGATCCAACATGAGGTGGCTTTGCATGTACAGCATGCTGTCCCCACAGGAAGGATGGGTCACTGAGGTGAGGGACTACAGCACTACCTGAAAGAGCATATACTGAAGAACCACAGGCTGAGACACACAGCTAGCAGCTGCCCTGTACCAGTGACTGACTTCCATTCCTGAAAAACCAGTTTAGAATTCAGAGGCAAACACATCAAATACTTGCCTTCTGAAGCAAGGGACAAACAGCATCTCACTCCTGGGTTCCACACCAGTGAGGTACAAAGGTGCTGCCACTTCCAGGTGTCAGAAATGCTGATGAACATAGGCAGTTTTGTGCCCAGGATAAGGCTCCTCAAAGTGGAGGTTCCTCTGTTCCCGTCAGTACCTGTACATTGTTACCATGTTTTACAGGTGACTGGGATGTAGTTTTGGTCTGAGAGTGGCTATTTCTCAGAAATTCTTCATACTCTGACAAACCAAATGAGACATCTCCAAAGAAACTGGATTTCTCACCATTCTACTTCAAAGGCCATATGACCACAGGATGACCACTGGAATAGGCTGACTAACCCACCTGTGCTGATGAACATCACATCATAGATGGTCCCATCCAGAGCTTGCACCCTGTCTACCACGATCTGTGTGTAGTTCACATCTCTTGCAATTAACTGGGGCTTGCTGCTGGTGGGAGTGACAGAGTCGTCCATCAGAGGGTGGTCCTTCACAAACTGCAGCGTCTTGTCAGGTAAGTTGAGGGAGCTGGTGAAGTTGGCTGCCCGGGCCTGACTGTTGATGCACTGTGGGAACAGCACACAAATCAGCAGCACCACATAGTATATGCACACCCGGGGACCACACAGCACACTTCACATGGTCAGGAATGCTGGACACACAACTTGGGAAACACAAAGTGAATCTCTTGAAAACAGACAGTAATGAAAACCTGAAGTGCTCTTTTCTCAGGAACCTGAAGATCTGCTTATAAAGCATATGGAAAGTGCCACTGCCTCTTTTAATCTACCAGATAGAATTCTACTCCCTTATTCAGAACATGAGGCACCCACTCCTTAGAACAGTCAACCACATAAGAGTGAAAGGACTGGTAAAGTTATGAAAACTTAACCTAGATTAAGCTTACAAGGTCACACTGTTAGGTGATGTCAAGTCAACTACATACACAGTGACTCTCTCAACAACAGATCTGAACCCTCCTCATGATCTCTGTCATACACACGTCCATCATGGTGGTCAACGTGCCACAGGGAGGAAGAGACAGAATAGAAGGATTTATGGCAATGAGGATCACAAGGAGGAAGAAGTCCTGTCATAATGTGAGGACTGTCATTAGTGGCAAAATGTTTATGAGAAGTAGAAAGTAAAAAGAATTTTCTCTGTAAACTTCCACTCAAAACATACCAAAAAGTTTAAACAAAGAGTTAAAGGAAAACACTACCATATCAACATCCTCCAATAATTATTGTTGTTATTATGTACCATTGAGTCAGAACCAACACACAGCTGACTCTCCTAAGGGTTTTTAGAGGCAGATAAATTGCATGGGAGCAGACTGCCATATTTTTCGTTCCACAAAGCAGCTGGTGGATTCAAACCATGTGCCTTTGGGTTTAGAGCACTACTTCTTACCTCTAAGCCACCAGAAGTCTCTCTAATAATAATATTAATAATGGTAATAATAAGTAAAAAGGGACCTCTGATGGTTAGGAGTAAGGAGAAAGATGACCAATCTCCCACATGGTTTACTGCCTCTGAAAATCCACTGGAGGGTGAGCTATGGTTCAGTTCCAACTCAGTGGTATACAACAACAACAACAACAACGAATAATAATCTAAGTATGAAAATGCAGAAGACATGCAGAATAGGAGCCAGAAGGTGAATCAGACTATACACACAAAAAAATACATATATTTAATAGAGGATATATATATATATATATATATATATGTTGCAAATACATCCATGTGTAGTTGTCAAGGATTTCATTTTACTTGGATTCACAATTAACACCTATGGTATGATGTTAGGAAATTAGATGACACAGCACACATGGCAAATCTGCCATGAATTACTTCTTTAAAATGTTAAAGAGCAAGGGTGTCACTGTAAAGACTAAGGTGCACCTGGCTCATGCCATAGTGTTTTCAATTATGTCTTATATATGCAGGAGCTCTGGCACTGCAGTGCATAATGTCCACTAACTAAAGGTTTGTACATGAGGTCATGAGGTCCACCAGCTGCACTATGGGAGAAAGACGCCTCCTCCTATAGAGGTGTACAGTCACAAAAGCTCAATGGAGGGTCACCAGGAGTTGGAAGAGATGTTTGCCATACATGAAAGTTGTAAGAATGAAGAATGGATGCCTCTGAATTTTGGTATTGGCAAAGAATGTCCAATGTCCAAAACAACAAATAAATCGATCACAAGAAGTGTAGTAAGAATGCTCCTTAGAAGCAGGATGGTGAGACTTTGTCTCATACATGTAAAGCGTATTATCAGTGTGGGCCAGTCTTTGAAGGACATCATGCTTGGAAGAACAGATGGTTAAAAAGTGAAAGGAAGACCTTCAGTGAAGTAAACTGATAAAGTGACTGCAATAGTGGGCTTGAGCATGGCAAAGACCTCAGTGAGGATTACACAGGATCAGGCAACGTTTTGTTCTGTTGTACATGGGGCTGACTCGGTGGTACCATATACAACACAACATACAGTAGACCATACAAGGGGAAAAGCTACCCAAACGTCCTGGCTGTACCCAACCAGCTTGACCATGAGCTGCTAGGCCTGTTTTTTGAGCACCATACTCAAGGAGGACATTTAGTCGACTGGCATGATGTTGAATTATATAATAATAATAATAATACCACCGTAATTCTGAGACAATGTTGTAACATCCCTCCCTAGTGCAGGAACTTAGGTCTTAAAAGCTTTCACGTGACCATCCAATTTGCAACACATGGTCTCACCATATCCAGAGAAAAGAGTGAAGAAAGCAAAAAACACAAGGAAATTATTACTCCAAAGGACTAATGAAATGAGATCAGATGTAAGAGACAGTATCCATCTACCACTGTTGACTGTTCTGAAAGATATCACATTAGGAGTCTCTCGATAAAGTGGGGGGGAAAGTGAATAAAATAAAAAAGACTTGCTTTCCTTGTCTGAAAAAGACTGGTGGAGCTCCCAAGAGTTTTGCTCTTAGATATTCTTTAGGTTTGGGACTGAATTCACTCCCACGGTCCATCTTCAGCTAACTGATAGGACAATGAGTGCACAATAACAACACAAAGGTATTCATTCACTAGAACAACTGAGATCAAAAGGGAACCATTTGTTTAGTATGAAGCTCAGAGGATAGAACAGGACTAGGAAAGAAGAATGAAGGGAAACCACACAAGGTGGGACGGGAAGAGAGCTCTCCCAATGCAGGGACCAAAAACAATGTCACAAAATGGACTGTATGTGAATTGTTGAATGGATAACCAATCTGATTCACCTAAATCATGGTAAAAAATAAAAGTAAAGTATGAATTGTCTGTCATTTGTCAATGACAACCCATGTATACTCACTTAATTTTCTTCTGTTTATAATTTTAAAAGACCTTAAACCTTTTGGGTATTGACAAGCATGTAACAACTGCTGATTTCTGTGGCTGACTTCTCCTTGAAGCAGTCCAAGTCTATGTAGCACAAAATCTCAAGAGCATGAACTTGGTTCTCCTGTCCCAAAGTATATAAATTGAGGTGTGCTAAGTGAACAGCGCAAACAAGTTGCAATGGGCAAGTGCTGAGAGGTTCTCCCAGGCAGGATGTGTGCTGGGAGTCAGGAATGTCTCCAGCCCACAGCCCTGCCTGTGGGTGCGGCATCTCCAACACACCACTTATTACTTCTGGGATAACGCAGGCATGTGTCAGAACCAGCGATAGACCTTCATTTCTTTCTACATAAGACTCATAAGTTTTAGGAGAAAAGACAAGACTCACTTATGACCAGACAGTACTGCTCTTCAAAGCAGTACTCTTTACTGAGGAAATGAGCTTCTCCTTGTTGTTGTGTTTGCTGATAGGTGCCCTTGAGATGACTGCAACTGATAGTGGCCCTATGAACAACAGATCTGAGCCCTGTACTCTCCTGGGCCATCCTTATATCTCTGATAAACTTGAGTCCACTTCTGTAGTCAGTGTGCCAATCCATCTAGTTGAGGGTCTTCCACTTTATCTCTGACCCTTTCCAAGCATGATGTCCTTCTCCTAGCAACAAGATCAAAGTAGGTGAGATGAAACTTTGTAATTTTTGCATCCAATGAGCACTGTGGCTTCTCTGTAGGTAACTGAAAATGAAATATGCCTGATCTTATTGTGCAATGTTCTGCATGCAATGTCCTTCTACTGCACAGGACAGGCACTGTGCATGTCCAAAGCATTGTTAAAGTTGTGTGACTTGTACACAGGAGAGGGGCAAGCAGTGCTCAGCCTTTCCAGGTTGTCCCTGTGTCTCTCAGCAGTGCAGGGAGGTGGCTCTGCACAGCCAGATCAACTGAAGCTGCAAAATTCACTCATCCCCGCTGCTGGCAGACCCTGTGCCCATGCCTCCACTCACCGCTCCAGGCCGTGGCCTGGGTACTGCCCCGTTGTAGCGCACCCACTTGGTATGTGACTGTTCTACAGTGGTGCTCTGCATGTACTTCCCTCGGGAGAAGACCTCTTCCACTGTGGACAGGTTATAGACACATACCGCCGACAGCCCCACGTTGTTCCTAGGCAGGGAAGAGAGGGTGTCACTGTCAGCAACGGGGTCAGAGACAGCAGTCCCAGGACAGATCGTGCTGGGGACTTACAGCTGCGGGATGAAGATGGCATAGAACACAGGCTCCTTCAGCCAGGGGCCTTGGAGAACAAACACGTCCTGCAGCATGTTGAAGACGAGGTTGCTGTCTGGTTTAGAGCAGATCAACCGGGCCTTTAGGAAGGATGTCCACTTCTTCTGTAATGTCCTCAGTCCACCCTGGTCTCCCTAAAATCCCAGAGAGAGAGAGAGAAGAATACTAACCTCCTAGCAGTGCTAGCTCCTCTGCACATCAGTAAGCTAGCAGGCCCCAAGTGCTCTGCCCAAGCAAAATGATGTGATGGTAAAGACCCCAGGCAGCAGACCACTGTGCCAACCAAGGCATGGATATGCCACCCTTATAAAAAACCACTCCAAACCCCTTCAATAGCAGCTGAAACAACCATATACAAATTCTGCCCCAGGTGCTCATTCCCCAGTGTGAAGATGTACCATTTTTTTTAAAAAAACATTTCACTTCTTTGGTCTTCTGACTGTGTCCTATCTCATGAATCTGTGGCCACATGCACTAAGCCTCCCTTACACATAGCATAGGAGGCTGTATTCCATGTGCATGAACATCTATGTAGGTTTGGTCTTTCCACAATATTCCCTCTTGAGAGGTTCTTTCACATCCTTCTTATTATCTAGACAATCTGCTTAAGTGCTTTGGGACCTACTAGATGTTTCAGGAACACTTTTTAGTGAGTTGAAAGTCAAAAGGAAAATGTAAAACCTGTAACACTTCAAAGGTAGTGATAGTTCCACAGGAGAATTCTCACAGAAAACGCCCCTCATGGGCAGCAGCCTTCCAACAGTCTGTCAGCCAAAGCCTGTGTGCTGCCATATGCTGAGCAAGTTCCATAGAGCTTCCAGGCTAAGTCAGAACATCAGCCAATGAAGACCTAAACACAACTCAATTCCTTACCATCAAATCAGAGTCAACTTATAAATGCCCCTGCAGCAGGTTTCTGAATGTGATAAATTGCAAGAGAGGAAACTGTTCACCCTCTTACCCTGGCGTTAACAGTGTTTAAGTTCCTATGAATTACCTCTCCAAACTGCAATTAATCACAGAGATGACACAGGACTGAGTAGCATTTTTGAGAGTCAAGGGACAGACTGATGGTAGCTAATAACGCAGAACAGCTTAATGTCTAAGTTTCCAAGCCAGGGAAACGTCGTGCTGCCGTAAGCTGGGCCACCAGCCAGTGGCATTCACACCCAGCACAGCCGCCGCCTGTATTCTGTACAAGCTGAGCTGCCGGCCAGCAGCGTTCATGCTCAGCACAGCAGCCACCCGTGTTTTCGGTAGCTTCTGACAGTTTTCTGACCTTGACTATTTGGCTGGTCTTCCAGAAACCTGTCACATACTATCAACCCAAGAGTGGAGGTCTGCTATGCTTCCAGCACCATATCCACCATGCACACATTTAAAACACTCCCTGTTCCCTCAATAGGTAAGCTTTGTGTCTTGACAGACATCTTAGTAAGATTTGTTTTAAAGTTCTTACTTAGTACTAACCCATCAATTAATGTTTCATTCCTGAGTTGATTACAGGCAAATGGTGACATTCCAATTCTAATGTGATTTTGTGCATAGAGTAAACAAACACCAACTTTATATAATTTAGGGGAGATCTGAGGAAGATATGACCACAAAGAAGTCTCTGAAAGAAGGGATTCCTCTGGCACTGCATAGACTGTGTATATGCCACTGGCATCCAGGTAAAAAACTACATACAAGAGAAGTAACTTCCCATCGGCAGACCTTCCATCACAACTATGATTGTAAAAGAAAAAAGTAAGGTAGTAGATACACGGATAATCACTGAAGTCAGGGAGCAGTGACCAATTCTCAGATATGTCATCCTCACATGTGAGGACAGAGAACAAAGACTTGACGGTACTCACCTTGCACACTCTTGCTACCCTCGGGATCATCAGCTTGAAGATAAACTCATATTCCACCGACACCTCCATGAAGAAGAAATACACTTTGTCGTCCTCACCCTCTGTGTCATTAGGGTTTCTTCGAATCACGTCAGCAAAGATGAAACTGGGCTCTGTAGAGAGGAGACAGGCCCGAGTTCTCAGTACAGAGCAGGGCTTGCTATGAGCCAGCATTCTCTGCTTGAGGCCCTGGTCCTCAATTAAATGTATGGATTGCTAAGATATTAGTGTCACCCAAGGTGATTTACAGATTCAGTGCAATCCCTACCCAAAATCCCAACAGCTTTTTAAGCAGAAATCATCAAATTCACAGGGAGTCACAAGGGACCTTAATAACCAAAACAATCTTAAAAAAATAAAGAGAACTCACATATCCTAACTTCAAAATGTACTATATATAACAGTACAGAATTCAAAACAGTCTGTAACTGGTATATCAATGTTGTTGCTGTGTGCTGTCAAGTCAGAGAAAACTCATAGCTGACCTAGTGGGTTTTCAGAACAGGAAATTGCATGGGAGAAGGTTGCCCATCCTTTTCCTGAGGAGCAGCTGTTAGATTTGAACTGCATGCCTTTGGGATTACAGCACAGCTTCTTACCAGAGCTCTCTGGGCACATATATAAACAAAGAAATACCACCAGGCCAGAGGACTCTGCCTGAAATGTCCCTGACCCCAGGTGGAGGAATGATGACAGAGTTGAGGTCCTGACTGTGCCCAGCCTGCCCTCTCAGGCTCAGAACTGTTCCCTAAACAAGTTCATCTCCAAGAAGCCAGCCTGGCTCCTGATGATCAGCTTTAGGAACCCAGGGAACCAGGCCACCATCCCTAGAGACCCACCTGTAAAACATCCATTTTACAGTTAATCACGTGGGAGCAGACTGTCTATCCTTCTCCTACTTACGTAACACCCCCAGTCAGCCAAACCAGTGCCCAGCAACTATGGCTCCTCCCTTGCTCCATGCCAAGTAATGGGCAGCTGTCTGCACCTACATTCATGTGGCCATGGCATCTGTCCCCAACCACCTCATCTCTGGTGAGGTTAAGAGGCTGTATGATTAAGGGTCCCCCTGGCTGACATTAACAAAAGAAGTCCCTTCACAAGCTGGCACAAAAGGTGAAAGCCATTCTCTACACACACACTATCTGCAGGACACAAAGAACTGAGATCTGATCCAAAGGGGCATTTCAAGACTATAGAGAGGTCTGCCACTTTGCACTTTAGAATCACCTCGGAAATTATGTACCTCATCTGATTGTCTAAGCAAGCCTGACTGAGTCTCACTGATGATAATGCCTCACAAATCCATTTTCAAGGGTATTCCCTTAGAACAGTGTGCTGTTAGTAGAAAACCCCTCAAGTCCTTGGACCTCAAGTCCCTCAAACAGCCCTAATGGTGACAGGTACATCTCCAGGGTGCAGGTCCCCTGAAAACTCCCAGTCTGCACATAGTGATGGTGACAGGTGCATTTCCAGGGTGCAGTTTCCCTGAAAACCCCCATTCTGCACCCAGTAGCCTCACAGGGAGCTATTCACAGTAAGTGGAAGTTGTTAAGTGCCATCTAGTTGCAGACGACTCATAGTGACCCTATGAACAAAAGACCTGAACACTTGTATAACTTTCCTTGTTTTCTAAGTTCATAGAGTTTCCAGAGGCAAGCTATTTTGGAAGTGGATGCCACCCCTTATGGCAAGCCTGTTTTAATCTGTGAGCTCCACCAAACACTGTCCACTATGGGCAACCATTATAGCATTTGGCACATCAGTGTCACAGTGTTTAGCATCACAGCAACCACGAATTACCTCTGTATAGCAAATGGACTAGTGCTATACCACTTAGAAGAATATTTGACCAAAAACAATTAAAACCAGGCTTGAGGGCTGCAGATTAAAATCACCCACCAGGTTTGGTAGCATCACTTTCTACCCACTAGGTCAACAGAGCTCTGTGACTCACAGCAATTCTATGAACAACAGGGCCCTATCCTATGCCAGCCCCACAATTCGACACACGCTTGAGCCCACTGTTACAGTCACCATATCAGAAAGAAGAGAAAAGTGGGTCTCGGTTCATAAATGGCTCTCATGATGTGCAGGTATAACCCTAGTGTTGACTAGTGCAGCACTGCAGCCCCTTTGTGAACATCCTTGAAGGACAATGGGGAAAGCCTTTGAGCAGGGTTACTTATTTACTTAAGAAATAATTAATACCACAAGAAGAAACAGCCTGATAGATGTGTAAAGACATGCCGACTCCTTGGCTCAGGCCAACGGTTCTGTTGGATGGGCAAGGACTTGAAAGGAACGTAACTGAAAAATTGGTGACAAAGGGGGTATGGAGAGGGATTCGAGGATAGACCTCTTTGCCTGGGTCAAAGAAGTGCAGCTATGCACATCTCATAAGAAAGCTCAAAGCATGACCTAGGCAGAGGTTGTTATTATTGTTATGTGCTATCGAGTCACTTGCGACTCATAGCTACCCTATGTACAACAGCCCTAAACCCTGCTCTATCCTGGGTCAATCGCACTGCCTCTGACACACCCATCCCAATTACCCCAGTCACTTGAATCAATCCACCTCATAGAGGGTCTTCTCCTCTTGCACTGTCCCTCCACTCTCCCAAGCATGATGTCCCTCTCCAAGGACTGGTGCCTCCTTACAACATGTCCAAAGTATGTCAGACGAAGCCCCAGAATCCTTGCCTTCAAGGAACAGCCTGGCTTAACCCTCTCCAGAATGAATCTGTCTGTTTTCTCGGCAGTCCATGGTACATTCAACACTCTTCTCCAGCACCACACCTCAAAGGCATCAATTCTCTTCCTATCCTTCCTGGTCATTGTCCAACTCTCTAATGCATAACAAGTGATTACAGAGACCATATAGTCTGTATCAGACGCACCTTAGTCCTCAGAGTGACACCATTGCTCTTCAGTACTTTGGAGAGGTCCGTAACAGCAGACTTTCCCATTGTAATACATCTTTTAATTTCCTGGCTACTGGTACCAAGAGTGTTGACCATGGAGCCAAGCAGACTAAAGTTGTTAACAATCTCAATCTCTTCACCATCTATCCTGATGCTGCCAATTGGTCCAGTGGTGAGAATCTTTGTCTTCTTGACATTGAGCCTCAATTCATATTGAAGGTGGCAGTCCTTGACCCTCTGCAGCAAGTGCTTCAGGTCCTCCTCAGTTTCAGTAAGCAGGGTTGTATCATCCGCATAATGCAGATTGTTGATAGATCTCTTCTACCAATCCTGATGCCACACTTCTCATAGAGCCCAGCCTCCCAGATAATCTGTTCTGCATTCAGGCTGAAAAGTTATGGAGACAGGACACATCCCTGGTGTACTCCTTTCCCAATTTTGAACCATGCAGTGTTTCCCTGCTCTGTTCTGACAACTGCCTCTTGGTCCAAGTGTAGGTTTCGCATTAGCACAATCAAGTGTTCTGGGATTCCCATTCTTCTCAGATTCAGCCACAGTTTGTTATGGTCCACACAGTCAAAAGCCTTTTCACAATCAATGAAACACAGATATACATTCTTCTGGTATTCCCTGCTTTCAGCTAAGATCCATCTAACATTAGCTACAATATCCCTAGTACCACGACCCCTTCTAAACCCAGCCTGGACTTCTGGCAGTTCTCTGCTGATGTGCTGTTCCAGTCGTTTTTGGATACTCTTCAGTAGAATCTTGCTTGCATGTGAAATCAATGATATTGTTCTATAGTTTCCACACTCTGTTGGGTCACCTTTCTTTGGGATGGGAATAAATATAGATATTTTCCAGTCAGTTGGCCAAGTGGTTGTTCTCCAGATTTCTTGGCACATCTTGGTGAGCACACCCAGGGTAGCATCAGTTAGCTGAAATACTCAATTGGTTTATCATCTATTCCTATGGCCTTATTTTTTTGCTACTTCTTTCAAAGCAGCTTGTACTTCCTTCATCACCACAGGCTCTTGCTCATATGTTATTTCATTAAATTCTTCTATGTCTGCCAGTTCCTTTCAATACAGTGACTCAGTATATTCTTTCCATCTTCTTTTAATACTTCCTGGATCATTTTAATATTCTGCCAAAAGCATCCTTGATTACAGCAACTCAAGGTTTGAATTGGTTCTTCAGTTCCTTGAGCTTAAGAAATGCTAAGTGAGTTCGGTTCTTTTGATTTTCCGACTCCAGTTCCTTGCATGTTTCATTGTAATATTTGCTTTGTCATCCAGTGCTGCCTTTTGGAATCTTCTATTCAGCTCTTTAGTATCTTGAATTCTTCCTTGTGTTTTGGCTTCTTGGTGCTGCAGTGCAATCTTCAGAGTTTCTTCTGACATCCATTTTGGTCTTTTTTCCCCCCCTCTTCTGTCTTTGTAATGACCGTCTGCACTCTTCCTGGATGATACATTTGACATCCTCCCACAACTCATTAGGTCTTTGCTCACTGGTGTTCAAGGCCTCAAACCTGTTCCTGAGATGGTTCTGAAATTCAGATGGGATGAACTCAAAGTCATATTTTGGTTCCCGTGGATTCAGTTTAATTTTCCTCAGCTTCAGCTTGAACTTGCATATGAGTAGTTGGTGATCTGTTCCATAATCAGCTCCTGGCCTAGTTTTCACAGCTGATACTGAGCTTCTCCAACGGTTCCGGTGAAATCCATGTGTATAACCTGCGTTTATGTTTCTTATAAAATGTATTTGCAGAGGAGGATTTTAACAATCAAGCAGACAGGATTGCATGTTCTGTAGAAGACTGTCAGCTTCCTTCAGCAGTCATTCCTGTCCTGCTCATTCAGGCTCATGAATTAAGTAGCTCTGATGGTGAGGACAGAAGTTATGCATGGACTCAGCAGGCTGAACCCACTCAGGGCTGATGATTTATAAGGACATTAGTTATGCAGGGATTCAGCAGTGTGGATCCACTCAAGGCTGACTAGTAGAGGGATGTTAGTTATACATGGGCTCAGCAGGGTGATCTACTTGAGCCTGACTAGTAGCCCTGAAGGTGAGGTCATTAGTTATGAATGGGCTCAGCAGGGTGGATTTACTCAAGGCTGATTAGTAGCCTTGATAGTGAGGACAATAGTTATGCAAAGGATCAGAAGCCTGGGTCTACTGGAGGCTGATTAGTAGTCCTGATGGTGAGGACATTAATTATGCAAGGGCTCAGCAGCCTGGATCAATTCAAGGCTGACTAGTAGCCCTGATGGTGAGGATATTAGTTATGCACAGGCTCAGCAGCACGGATCCAGTTGATTTGGACCTGGTTAGTCACTGCTGCATGCCAGCAGCTCACTCTACTGGTGCCAAGGCATCGATACTCTAAGCTGTAGATGAAATTTTCAGAGTCAGAGTCAGAAAAGAGGACACAAGCCAATGTATTTCCATTGGAAAGGATGTAACCGCACACAGACATGCACCTTCCATGAGTAGCTTCGGGTCCTTACCGTTAAGCCAAGGTATTGCATACTCTGTTCTCAAGGGACTCTGGGAAGAATGGCGGGAGATGATAGGTTCGCTTCCCAGAAAGTTGTATGATGTCCCAGAGTAAAGTTCTCCATCTACAGTGACCAGGGAAGAAAGAGGAAAAGTGACAACATCTCAAGCTGTGGTGCCAAAACAGGCAAAATGATCAACATTTTATATGTAACCTTGTATAAACTCTCATGAGGAGACAAGAGACCATGTCCCTGACTTGTGGAGCACACATTCATCTCCTCCTATGTCTGTTACCTCTGATGTGAACATGGTTTGGCTGTATTTTGTGTTCTAAGTAGAGGTCATTAAACATAAGCAAGAAGTTCTAACATCGAGTAAAAGGATCATAAATACAACAGTGGGAAGAAATGGGGCAATGGTTATCACTCTCCTGGGATCCCTGAGCCCTTCCCAACAGGATGCAGCTCACCTACAAACCACCCTGAAAAGCAGGATCTGTACAATGGTCATAAAACAGTATCTCTACAAATTAAAATTTAAGCCACAATGGTGTATGGGGGGGGGGTAATTACACTTCTTAAAAAATGAATATAAACACTCACTGAATTAGGATACTTGCAGAGCCAGAGTGAGTCTCTGGGTGGCATAAATGGTTAAAGTACTCTATTGCTAACTGAGAGTTTGGAGAGTTTTGAGTGGGCTCAATTTTTGCTTCCAAAATTCAGACACCATGAACCCCAAGGAGCACAGCCCTGCCCTGACACATGGGGTGGGGTGGGGCACTCGAGGGGGGGGCACCCAGAGTGGAGGCCAACCTAATGGCAACATGTAGAGTTAGGATGACTAATAAAAAAACAAAGCACAGGAAGAGGGTGCTGATAAGCAAAGGGAAATGCACTGTTCTCTCTACTTAGTGTGACTCAGCTTCTGTAAAGAAAGCCCTAAAGGCAGTACTCACCAACCATGATAGAAGTGTAGCTTTGTGCTGGGTCAAAGGGACATCTTCCTTTGCCATCTTCATTCTTTCCCAGGAACGTAAAGGGTGCTAAGCTCTATTGTAACCATGGAACAAAAGACAGTGTATCTATCACATTTCTGGAGTCATGCAGTAATAATGAGCCTTTGTGACAAATACTGCATAGTGCCACTGTTGTAAAATAGGACTGGTATAGGGGCTGGGGGGAGACTGAGAAAAGATGGGATAAATTATGTATACTGCATTGAAACAGATGAGGAAGAGAACTATTTAAAAGGGATATATGGTTAGATATTTCTGTCATGACAGGAGTCCAGAATGAAGGCTGCATAGTGGAGTAGACATGAGGGGAGGGATTGTAGAACAATAAAATAATTTTTCTTTTACTTTTCAAAAAGAAGAGTGAACTGGTGGGGAGTAACTGGGGGAAGGGGTGGACAGGGAGAAAAGTGCAACAATAAATGAATGGAAATCTCAATGTCTCTTTAAACTTTCATTAAAATTAATAATAATTTTAAAAAGGGAAAAAATGACCATTTGTGCCATTTTGTTTTACAGACTTAATACTCTTGGAAGACCAAGGGGCAGAACAAGCATCTGGCGAGTCAGGCGAGTCCCATGTCCAGAGCTGCACTGAGCGCTACTCAGCTCTGGGTGGATGTACCAAGGAGTGCCCTTCCCTTCCCTCCCTAGACCTGGCTAAACCACAATGGAATGTCCCTCCCTAAAGACCCATACTATAAAACCTGCCCTAATCCACTTTAGGGCGTGCTATCTGGTATTTCCCTGGTCTGTCCCTCTGCCTGTTTCTCTCTCTGCAGACTAAGGAATCCCGCCCGGGAGACTCCTTAATAAAGCTTCTTTAGCTTCCTTTAAAAAAAGAAAAGAAAAAGGCTGAATTCCTACTTTACTTCACCTATTAAAACATACCTAGATGCACCAATGATCTAAATATTAAGAAGGGAATCATTGCACTGAAGGAAAGTACAGCCACTGTTTGAACCTCAGGATAATATTTCTAAACTTGGTAAGAAAACCCAAAACAGTGCAAGGAAAAAACCCAATGACATTAAAACAAATACAAAACCCAATATAAGCTTTGAGTGCCAGAATAAAATTAGAGAGAATTCAACCACAAGTGACAAATGGGAAGAAATGATTGCAAAATGACAGATATGCATCCCTTACACACACAAGTCAGAAAAGGACCTCAGGACATAAGCAGTCAGAGAAGGAAGTGGCAAAAGAAAGGTCCACGAGGGCAGCATGGGCAGAAGTGTGTAATCCCATAGAGGCCAAGCGCACAAGGAGGGTGACAAAGGTAGAATGACACTTTTTAAAGAATTTTTTAAATTAATTTTAATGAACATTTACAGAGACTTTGGATTTCCATTCATGCATTGTTGCACTTTTCTCCCTGTCCACCCCTCCCCTGCCCAGTACATTCTTCTCTTTGAAAAGTAAAAGTTTCCCCATTGTTTTACAAAAGTTTCCCCATTGTTTTACAATCCCTCCCCCTAGGTCCACTCCACCATGCATCCTTCATTCTGGACTCCTGGGAATGACACTTTCTATCTCAGAGCGGGAGAGCTTGGAAGATGGGCCTTCCTCAGGGAGGAAGCTGATGGGAGACTTGGCTCCTGACCAGCATGGAACTTATAAACATGGACAAAGAAATGGCTAAGAGATATGGGAAGAGAGACTGCTGACAGGCTTACCATCTCTCTCTCTCTCTTACACACACACAGATTTTAGCTAACATGGATACATGTTCCCATTTGTGCAATCAAGGTCATTAATATGCCATTGACTGAATGTCACCTCAAAATTCATGTATGGTTAGCAAGGAAGCTATGTAATGCTCTGATACACCAAGCAGCTCTAAGAGGATGAAGGGTGGGATGAACACTCAATTCCATCACATCCTTGATTCACAGTAATGGCATTTCCCTGCTTGTGACCTGCAAAACCTTTTGTCTTCAAACTAAAAAATCATTGCTGTGGAGTTAGCACTGCCTCATAGATTATACTCCAGCAGGTTTTCAGTAGCTATAAACTGCACAGGAGAAGAGCACTCCTCTTTCTCGCATACTTTTTGTCTTAGGAGAGAAGCAAGCAAAGAGTGAGGGCCTCAATGCCTCCAAGACAGAAGTACCAAGAGTGAGGCACGGTTTTTGATCTAGGTCCTCTGTTGGAACACCCAACAGAGGAGGGCTGTCATATGGAGAGCCCAAAAGGATGCTGGACTTCTGGATCTTAAAAGCCGTGGGACCTTACTCTATTACCAGCATGAACAGAAAGCTGGCCCTCAAAGCTGGCCCTTGAATTTGGACTTGCAGCCTCCTAAACTATAAAGTCATCCTCTTGGAGCATCTCTGCTATAGCAACACTAGATAACCAATATAACATATGAGTCGTGCATGTTTTTTAAGCTTGGAGATCTTTATTAAAAAGGCAAATGACAAGCTTAAACAGAAATGAACTATACTGTCCCTTTACTCTAATGTCTGGTGGATCTATGGAATTTAAGTTTAAATTGCCAGACTTGGAACATCTGGTTAAAGCTTAGCTTAGAAACCCTCTGATACTCAAATATCACTTAATCTGCTTTGCAATCCTGAAGCCACGTGGTTCAAATTCAACAGCAGGTCCACGGGAGAAGAATGCGCAATCTCCTTCCATGAGATTAACTGCCTCTGAAAACCCGAAGGAGGAACAGGTATGGGTTGGTTCTGACTTTGTAATACACAACAACAACCACACATATTTTCTAAAGCAAAAAGAAGCAAACTCTGTCCCCAGGCATTTTAACACGTTGCCACAAATGACAGCAAAATGTGTTTCTAAGCACGGTTGTCAATTTAAATGTGTGCAGCAATGTGTTAAACATGCCATGTAACAACACCATGTACAGCCAGCCTCTGTGGGAGCAGATATTCACAGGCTTACACACCTCATCCCAGATACCAGGGTGTATGTCCAATTACTTAACCGGGATCTTAGTAAACCCATACTTTGTCATGTCGTTTGCCTCTGACTCAGAAAGGTTTGCCAGAGGTGAAGACACGCAGCCTAGGGCAGAGGATCTGCTGGCGTCAAGAGAAGCTGAGAGTAGTTGCCAGGTTAAATATGGTGTCTGTGCCAGCCCAGGGGATGGTTCAGTCAGAGGAGGTGCCTTTGTTAATCTGGGGATTGACTCAGACCACAAGTGGCACTGTCCATAGGGTCTAAAGAAATGCACTGGGAAAGTCTGCCCCAGAAACAGGATGTGGACGTGGCCTGATACAGCTGGGTTTGGAGGGGGAGGAAAGGAGGTAGAAGAGTGGAAGAACTCTGCCACCAACTGGACTAGCCGAAGAACAAACAAGTCTGTCTTGAAGGATGTGCAATCAGGGGACTCCTTACAGACAAGGATGGTGAAATCTGGTCCCACATACTCTGGGCATGTTGTCAGGAAGGATCAGTATTGGGAAAAGAACATCCTGCTGGGAAAGGTAAAGGGAGGGTCAGTGAAAGAGAGGAAGACCCTGAGAGAGATGGACTGACACAGGGACTTTCCCAATGAGCTCAAGCATGTTAAAGATCATAAGCATGATGTAGGACTGGGCAAGGTTCAGAGTTGTTGTTTGGAGGGTCACTATGAGTCACTGTTGAGTTAATGGCACCCAAGAAAAATAGAATTAAAAAATGTTTTCAAAATAAGAGTTCTAGCAAAACAAGCAACAGCATATTTTGTGTGTCAGATGTTCACTGAGGGGATCTCTAGTGGCCTAGTGGGTAGGGAGCTGAGGGGCTAACTGAAAGTTTGCACCTTTTCTGGAAGTTCAAATCCACCAGAGGCTCCAAGGGTGAAAGATGGGCAGACAGTCTGCTCCCATGCATTTTACAGCCTCCATAACCCTGCGAGAGGGTCAAAGATGAGTCAGTTCTAACTGAACAGCAGTGAACTTTTGAGTTTTAGGTTGCCAGTAGGATGTTAGAAGATATGCTACATTTTCACTTCTCATATATACTTAGAGTACTCCTTCTCTTTGTCTTTGTGGTCATTACACACATCAGATTTTCAGAATGATAAATTATGTTTAAGAATTTCTCCCACTGTGGTATTACAGTATAATTTCTTTCTAGTTTTTGTTCAAATGGAGTGAAAAGGAAGTGGTGAAAGGAGAGACTAAGAATCTCTTAAGGAACCATCAAACTGAAGGAAGATTTCTGATCTATTCAGTGTAAGGATAAATAAGCATTGTTGTTGTGTGCTATGGAGTTGGAACTGACCCATAGCTGACCCTCCAGAGGCAGTTAATCACACGAGAGATTGTCCATCCTTCTTCCACGGAGCAGCCGGTGGATACACACTGGGCCTTCAGGATTGTGTGAAGCTGCTTACCAGTAGGCGAAGAAAGGCCTAAAGAGGCACCCTGCTTCTAAGGCAACCAAGGGTATGTGTGTATTCACTCATGAGTGGATGGATGCCTGTCAGTGTGGCTCAGTGGGTTTGCCATGCCAAGAGGATTGCAACAATAGACCTGGGAGCAGTACCGCAGATGGCTGAAGGGAAGGGTGTGTGGGTCAGCTTGGCTAGGTTATGTCAAGGAGTTGGGCCAAATGGCATGCTAATTGCTCTTTCATAATGTAATGACTATCTATAATATAATATAATGCACCAACTAGCAGAAAAGGGACTTTCCTTTAAGCAGTGACCTGTCTCTAGACTATTTTGTCATTCTTTCTCTGCTCTTCCCATCACCTTATCTATGGATGTTGGGACAAAAGCTTGCAGAAGTCTTCAATCTGTTGCCTGCTCCTGGAAATCCCATAAGCCAGCATGAGTCCCTGGTCTATTGCCTGACCTATAATTTATTTTTTAACTTTTTATTATAATTTGAGTGAATACTTAAAATGTAAATTTAGGTCCCTTCAGTATTTGATACATATTCTGAGATAGGATATTGACTACAATTCCTACAGTGTAATAATGTAGTAACAGTCTTCTCATATCCTCCCTATGTTGTGACCTAGATTTTTTTTTTGAACATTATTTATTTAGAATTTTATTTGGTATTAACAGGTTTGAACATATTCTTTTTTTATGGTTTTACTTCCATTCATTTATTGTTACATATTTTCCTCCCTGTCACTTTTTTCTTCGGGGGGAAGAAAGTTCTTTGTTATACAGTCCCCCACCCCAGACCACTTTACTATGCCACTTTTATTCTGGACTCTTGTCATGCCAATAATACCTAATCATATGTTTCTTTTATACAGTTCTCTCCCTCATCTGTTTCAATGCTGCATACATTATTTATCCCCTCTTTTCTAAGTTTCCCCCCAACCCCCATATCAGTCCTGTTCTATTACAGGGGCATTATACAGTATTTGTCTTTTTGTGACTGAGGTATTTCATTCAGCATAATGTCCTCCATGGGTCACTCATTTTGTATATTTCATAAGTTCTTTGCTTTTCAGTGCTGCATAATATTCCAGAGCTTCTTTATCCATTTGTTTGTTGATGGGCATCAGGGTGGTTTCCAACTCTTTGCTTTTGTAAACAAAGCAGTAGTAAACATGGGTGTGTATATATCTGCTTGGGTGGCAGTTAAGGTGTATTTCCAGTAATGGAATTGCTGGGTCAAATGATATTTCTATTTCCAACTTTTTGAGAAAGTGCCATACTGCCTTCCATAGTGGTTGCACCATTTTACACTCCCACCAGCAGTGAATAAGGGTTCCAGTCCCTCCACAACCTCGTCAACATTTGTTGCTTGCTGTTCTGTTTAATTTTGCTATTCTTACTGGAGTGAGATAGTATCTCATAATTATTTTGATTTGCATCTCTCTTAGAGCTAGGGATTTTGAACATTTCTTCATGAGTTTATTGGCCATCTGAATGTCTTCTCTGGTAAAGTGATCTAGGTTTTTAACTTGCCAGACCCCAAAATCTCTTGAAGTAAATGACTCACAGTTTCTTACCCCTAGGCCACCAGAGATCCATTCCTATCAGTCTCTCATATATATTTGTTTTTGTTGTTATGTGCCCTTCAGTCACCTGCCATTTATAGCAACCTTTTGTACAACATCTCTGAAGCTTGCCCTATCCTGCGCCAGTCTCCAACATAACTACTCCCAAAAGGTAATTACAAATCTAGGTGTAGAACTTTTCTTAAAGATTGGGACCTGCACCACAGCTGGGTCTCCCTCACATAGCACAAATATGACGAGGAGGGAAGATGCTAAGAAGGTAAGACACGGGTGCTGACATCTGTCGCACTGTATTTTCTGCACTATCACCTCCTCCCTTCCCCCCCCCCCCCCCCCCCGCGCAAGGTCTAAACACTACAAGGGCTGCCATATGTGAGCCCTGCCCATGCCCTAGGTCATGGTGACTGGCAGGTGGAAGAAGATGAAAAGAGAGGAATGACAGACTAGCCACGGCCCATGGATCCAAGGCCCCCGATGTTGGGCATGTGGTGGGGGCCCAGGCTGTCTATCTCCAGCCTTTATGGATGGTCACTAGTGAGTGAAGCCCATGTTAGTTTTTCAGGCGGAGACAAATCTTCCTTCCTCAAGCCTCACTCTGCTTTAGGTACTAACAGAGCTGCACTGTCCAAACAAGATATATTCAACCTTACCAGATGGTCACAGGTTGGCTGGAAAGCATTAGTCCCACACACATAAAGAGTTTGGGGATCAAGTGGCTGCAGCACTCGGATGTAGTTGAGGCATTCTGTCTGTAAGAAATGAAAACACACACATGAACAACTGTCCAGCTCCACACAGCCATCTGCCCTTAATCTGACCAGCACTGAGACTGCTGATGCACTTCATTCCTAACATAGATGGCACAGGCTCTGCACTGCGGTCATCCTGTGATACTGCACTCACCAGGGCCTCTCTGTCCAGTAACACCTCTCATGCAGTGACCTTTGAATGCTGAGTTGTTCTGCATCAGCTCCACCCTGACCACATGAGGGTCACTGAGTTCCTGCGTCAGGCCTTGGACAATCATATATCCTGGGTTTATCTTACCCAGTAGCTCTGCAATGTCCACTGTCTGTCCAGGTGCCAGATGGCATTTCATTTTAGTTACTAATTTAAATAGCAAAGATTTGACTACTACAAAAATAAGTTTCCCTCAGCTTTTTAGTGGAGACACCCATTATGGAAAAGAATGGTTTTCATTCTCACCAAACATTTTGCTAGCAGATGTGCTATAAGTGGCTAGAATATTTCTTTAGGTTTCCTTTATTGTAAACGGTCCTGATTGGTGCTTTCCTGAGACAGTTACTGAGGTGAACATTAGCTCCTCATTCTTCCTCCTGCCTGAGAACACTGCCCACAAAAGTGGAAGAGCGAACACCTGCACTGTGCTGTCAACAGAAAAGCTGTCAACGGGGAAAAGAAAGCGAGCCTTCAGGAACCCACAGAAGACTACCTCAATTTACATGTGCAATAATCTGAACTATCTCCACTCAGGAAAGCTTTCTTTGTGCCCCAAAGTCAGTGGGGTCAGAGTACTTCCAGAAAGGTCACCAGGCTGAGGAGACAGCTCTCTCCCAGAGAAGGGGAATGTTCTCGGGTGTGCCAAATCTCCAAAAGGGCCAGCATTTATCATGCATCAGTAGGCAAATGAAATAACTTTTGGTCATTAAAGCTTCAGATCACTGAATAAATAAAATTCTGTTAATCTTTAAAACACACTTATGAAATGCCTGTTAAATGTCTGGCACTGCCTTCCTTTTAAGGCCTGAGTCACAATGACTTGCCCAAACTCACTAGACTTCTTACACAAAATATATGGCTCACATTTCAGACATAGCTGCAGTCAGAGAACTGAAACAACTTGAAAGACTTTTTATTCTTTCTTCTTCTTCAGATTACAAAAGGAATTACCTGTTTAGATTTTCCCTTTTCAGCACATTTTGCTTTTTTGTCTTCTGAGACCTTCCAATATACCTGGTAAGGCGAAAGAGAATCCACGTTAATGTGTTATTATCTTTCTAAAAGAGCTACAGGTATAAGAAACAACCAGTCTTGAAGAAACCACACAACACAGTTTAGAAAATAAACATTTCTCCCAGGACAGCAAAATAAAAAATATCAAAGTAGAGATCAGAGGATTAGAGGCTGAGGTTTAGAAGCAACCTGAGGCCTCAGAGAAATGTCTTTAAAAAAAATTATGTACTTTGTGGCCACTATGTTTGAGAAAATATACAGAACATATGTTAATTCAACAGTTCCCACATATACCATTCAATAACACTGATAACTTTCTTCAAATTGCGCAACCGTTTTCATTTTCCTTCTCTAAGTTGTTCCTCTCCCATTCGCATAAAATCACAGCTAAGGATCCGATTTAACTTTTCAAGTTGTGATTGTCAAAGCTGAATATAATATAGAGAGTTCTTCAAATAATATAATTCTCAAGACTGACTCTTAATCAATTAAGCTAAACTATTATGAAGATTTATGATGGCCAAAGCCTATCTAGTTGTTCTGGTCTCACAGCAAAGGAGTAAGCTGTTCATGAAGGCTCCTAATTCCAATTGTCCTCCATCCTCTGTTGTCCAGGCAAATAGAGAGACCGAATATTATATCCTGGATGGCTGCTTCAAGCTTTAAAACTCTAGAAACTACTTAAAGAGATCAGGCAGTAGAACAGAAGCACTAAACCAGGTCAATAAGCCAGGATGTCTCTTCCAATCATGCCCTTAAAGCTCTACACCAAGGAACTAAATCCATGAAGAGTCTGGGTGTACATAAGCTGATTTTCTTCTAGTCAGTTAGCTGCATTCTTGACCTTTCACTTTTTTGTTAAATTCTTTTGATGATCAATGGTTTTACTTTTTATAAGGTACTATTTATTAGTTTTGTCTGTTGCTGTTTACATATTTGTTATTAGAAAATTACTTTTTAGAAGCAAGCCAAAACAATGTTACCCTAAATCTTTCTTCTAACAATTTTATACATCTAGTTTGTATATTTAGGTACTTTTTTTTAATTAATTTAGTTTGTTTATTTTTCATTTCAATGAACATCTACAGAGATTTTGGGATTCCATTCATTCATTGTTGCACCCTTCTCCCCGCACAAACCCCTCCCCCCC